CAAGATTAGATCTAAAATGTTCTCATCGGTAGGACTGTGAAAGTTGGCAAGGTTGGTAAACAAAAAGATAATAATGCGAGTTACTTATCAATCAGTGACTTATTTATCCTGAACGGGTGCTACAAATTTATACCTTAGTGCCAGGGAAATTTTTTACCTGTGTGTGTACACCCTAGGCTGATCTTTGTCGTCTGCTCGACTCAGATGCGGACTGATTTATCATTGTGCCTGTGTGTGTGTGCATGCGTGTGCAGTTGGTTTACTAAACCGTAATCAGTAAAGTTCACCCAACTGGATAGATAGTCTACCAGGAGCGTCATACGGGAGGAACATCTATCTCATACACAGGGTAAAAATCGTCAATCTCAACCCACCCGCACCCCCTAGAAAGAAGTGAGCTGATGAGATGTATATAGCAACTTGTAAACAAGGTGAGCACGGCAAAATGTCAAATAAGACAAAACAAAAAATCTGTTGTACCTACCCAGTCGTCTGCATTTCGACGCAATTCTTCCATTTTTCGCATATTTTCCCGATGGGCCGAATACGTGGAGTACATCGGTGGTTGCTTGTACGTGGTGGTCGTACGCAGATTGGATTCTGTCCCAAATGGAAATGTGATAGACAGGTGCATGCGGTTTTATTGTGTATTGCCCAAAGGGTAACCATGTGCAACCGGGACAAAGTGTGGGGTAATCATATGTATGGAAAAAAAAACTGTCACGTTCTAAATACCTATAAGGGTGAAATTAAAGTATGACCTCAGCTTAGTGAACCCAATTTCCTTCATCTCGGTGGTTCATACAGATTGCAATTTGACTTTACTGTGTGTGTGGATGACTGTCCTTAGGGAAGCCGATCACGGACTGCTTCCCACGGCACTATCTCTATTTTTCTCAAAGTTTAAATGGGGTCCACATGTAGTGCTCTCTCTCTCTCTCTGGTAAACAAACAGTTTGCCTGGCAAAGCAGTGCATAAAACTGGACGGATTGTCACAATTAGCCACAATTACTGAGGGCTCACATATGGTGGAAAATATGCGGCATTTCATCCGGATAAGTCATTCCCCGAAGGTAAAAGACTTCAGACTACTGTCCGAATGTCATCGGAAATCAACTCACGTCCACCAAGAGGGAGACAAGTTAGAGATCTAAATTTATCAGTTTTCTAGGTTCCCATCCAGCGGCCTCACCCGGCTTCATCACCATTGTGTCACATGGCAAAAGTTTCTAAAAGAAACCTCATGTAGTGCCTCGAATAGAATGTGAGATCTTGATTATGATTAATGTAATTTGTATAAGTGGTCTGAAAACGTTTTACGGACAAAAGTTCAACTTTTTATCTCCATCCCTATCAAAGGGAACTTAGACCGAGAAAGTGAAATTCAGTCTACCACTGTTTTAGCATCATGGGATACTATTAGTAGACTGTGAAGATTGGATCAAGGTGGGGTCTATTCCATCATATTCACCTCAAAATATCCTAGTAATCAAATTTCATTTGAAGCTCGGGGAGTGGATTTGAGACGAACAAGTCTCAAAGAATCATTGTGATGCTTCTGTATTAGCTGCTCTGGATTAGATGCGTCTAGCCTCAACCAGCTCGACTCCAGTGTTTTCAGTGTTTTTATGAGTAGTATATGAAGAACTGGACACAATTTCCTAGAAGCACAGGACCGGTTTCGAGGTCCTTGCCGCTCGTCAGGCATGCCTAGAATAAATATATCACATATTCAGTTCCTCTCACACTATATCTGGCCTCTAACCCCGTCGTGTCTCCTCTATTCGGTTTCATTTATCTAACCTATGCGATTGTTCATGTTACATCCCATCGACCACGAGATTGGCGACCGCACAAATTGCAAAAACCACAGCAGTCAATATGTTGCAAGCCAAAAGAGAATCAAAGGGATGTTGACAATAGAAAAGCAAAGTAGCGATTTGGAAACTTGAAACACGCTCGGAAAAAAGGTCCCACCACTATGTTTAAAGAAAAAAGATCGAGGTGCGTTTTGCAACGGGGGAATTTGAGCTGTGCGTTCTCGGTTGTAGGATCAAGGAGGGAAAAACAGGGACACAGGGTGGGGAAGAGATAGTTGATCACCGACTGCCAAATCACAAAGGGGCATTATGCATTCAATTTATCTATAATCATATGCGAGAAGGGAATCATTTCATTGCGTTAAAACAACCGCTCCCCAATCCTCATCGTAGTGACAGAACGAGGTGATTTTCTGACATCATGATTGCACTTGTAGTGAGCGAGTTGTTTAATTAATGTTACTTTACTTTTTCCCTATTCTCACAGATAGTTGACACACGCAAATAAAAAACCATTGGTTTGTTAGCTCAACTACGAAACAGCCAAGCTGGCATTATATATACGATATTCACTGAAATCATTGTTTACACGGGCTACCTATTTGTCTTGAACACAGTGCCGGGTCAATGGCTGTCATACAGATGTTCAGTCAGGATCCAAAGAATATGCGTAGTCTGTGACGAAAAAATCGTGGTAGTGGACAGTTGTTTCGGATTACTTGAAGCAAGGCTGTTGACAGTAATCATGATGGTTCCACTCGAAGTACCAATCAGTACGGTCTGGTGGACTCATCGAAAGCAGTGTGTGTGCGTTTGAACATCACTATCTACGTCGCATCGAACGAATCTGCTGGGGAAATCGAACAAGAAATGCCTAGCTTAGGCACAGAGTTTTAAGCAGTCGCGATCGACCACTAGGACCGCACTGGTTGGGGTATGCGGGGCTCATGCCATCAAGTAGATTACCTCGAGGTTCGATGCTTACTGAGGTAGGTGGTGGATGGAAAATATCAAAATAAATTCTGTCTTCTCGTTAACTCTGCTCTCAACATTTAAATCCTCATTCGGCTTTCATATTTAAATCGGCAACCTAAAGACAGCAACCAAAACCGCCGCACTAGCGAGCATTGTTGATGGTTTTAAAAGCTGAACTGAACTGAATTGAAGTGTGTGTGTGTGTGTGTGTGTGTGTGTGTGTGTG